GTGCCCTGTGCTAAGTGCTTTCAGCTCCCGAGGACTTCACCAGGAGGGACTCGCAGCTCCCAGGAGCAGGGAGAGCATCAGAAGGTCTGTTAGTTCCTTCCCATCCCGCTGCGGCTCAGCTAGGGTGAGGCGCTCTCGCAAGCAGTCAACCATTCACATGTGGAGGTTTCCTAAACTGTACCTGCCTTCAGAGGATGCCATTAGAGAAAAATGTGCTGTTTGGCCCTCATTAATATAAAACAATCTTACACTGTTTCATTGAGAAGTCCTAGGACTCCAGGCTTGGAACGGGACTTGGAAAATGATCGGAAACAGGAGCCATTCCTTACTGGATTTGTGCCTTTTTCTGTTCTTGTGTGAAACCACACTTTTGGCTACGTGATAAGCCACTGGAAAAAAACTCTCTGTTTGCACATGCTCCCAGGAGGGCCGCTAAAGGCTCCAGAGACTCTCTGTGTGCAGTGAGCACTCTTGGCCATGGAAGCGCAGGAGGAAAACAGGATTCCCCTGCCACCAGGGGAGAATCCCTGGGCTGCGGAGCAGTGCAGCGGTGGCCACGGAACTCACTCTCTCCTGTGGCCAGAACGATGCTGCCGGGGCACCGAGGCGCTGTGGACAGGGATGCTGTCCGACACGGAGCAGTCAGGAGGCGAGTGCCGGGCGGGAAATGGAGCATGGGACTGCTAGGCACGGGCACTGGAAAGAGCAGCTATGAGCAGAGACCGGAGCTGGAGTCAGGTGGGTGTCTGGGAACAACCAAGTAATCTCCATGGGACAAAGACTGGAGGAGAAGACAGAGAGAAGACTGAGAATGGCATGAGGCTGGTCCTGGAACAAAGAGCCAGAACAGAGAGGTTTCTAGCAGCAGTCAGGATCACACAGGAAATAGCTGATGCAGTTGGGACTGATGGGCTCATGCTGGGCAGCAGAAGCAGTAAAGTCTGCAGTTCCCTTCTCGCCTCAGCACCAGGACTGAATCTCAGGGCTCCTGAGGCCCACGGACACCTGTGAAACTTGCTGGCCACAAAATCATAGGAAAAAAAAATCATAGGAAAATGAGGAATATAGAACAATTCTGCATTCAGCAAATATTAACATTCTGGGCAGACTGTGGCAGCAACACCAAGGAAAATAAAAATATATGGTTGCACAAAAACTGTGCAGGACCAAGCACAGTTAAGTCTGAGTCTACACCTTGGTCATGGAGTTAATGCTACTATTAAGTGTGTACCAGGACACCAAGCAAAGATTACACCAGCACCCTGGATGCTGATGTTATCTCTCTGTTTCTGCACACACACTTTGCAGCAGCAACACTGCTGTAATGAAGTTTTTGGGTGTGCAATGATTCAGATAGTCCCCAGACTTCATTGGCCTTTTATTATCCAACACATATGATATTCCTGACCCAAAGACAACAAAGATGAAGGAGAGGGATAAGGTGGGCAATTTTGTGTGGATTTTCTTGTCTCCACAATGTCTCTTTCTTGGTGTTCCTCTGGGGATAAGGCGGGCAATTCTGTGTGGATTTTCTTGGTTCTACCCTATGCACATGTCTTCACAATGTCTCTTTCTTGGTGTTCCTCTGAGGACAGGTTATGCCAGTTTACTGCATATGCCTCCTCCTGACTACCCTCTACCAGATGCATAACTGAACTCCCCACTGACTCCAGGGCTCATCTGACTCCTTGACTCCATCAGCAACACTCCTTCCTCTCTCCAGTCCTGCTCCAGTGAGTGCATGCTGGTTTTGAGCTCCTCTTAAAAACAAGTTCATCAAAAAGGCTGCAGCACAATCCTAATAACTGTCTTAGAAACAATGATTGAATGCTTTGTGCAATTAAATTCTTTCAGAACTGCTGCCTGCCATTTCCTTTAACAACTGCCTTTAATGTCTGTCTTAACAATTACCTCCTTTTTCTTAGGTACCAGCATGTTTCAGACCGCTACCTGCTAGAGTGAGGGAGCTTTCATAAAGCCTGTCTGTTATTTCTCTCCTAGCAAATTCCTTAAACTGAAGTATCAAAGAGGAAGGAAAGTGGATGCTTCCTAAGCATGGTAATAAAGGCAGAAGGGAGAGAATCGTAGGGCTCACTGAAGACATCGTTTGCAAACCCAAAAGTTTAAAAAAACTCCATACCTTGATGGTGACAAAGGCACTTTAAAAGCACTCCCTTTGGCCAGCAATGTGAAGGGGCTGAAGTCAACATAGGCCTGGAAGTCACTGCTGACAGTTACCTGGCCTCCCTGGGTCCCTAACTTTCTTTTCAGTTTGGAAGTAACAGGCTGCATCTGATCTACCCCAAAAGCTAGTGTTCCTGTAGTTAGGTGTCCAGAGCTTTGCCAAACCCCTTATTAAGTGATGAGGTCTCCTGCCATGTCCCCAGGGAGATTATCCCACAGACCACATCGTTAGGAAAATGTTCCAGATATCCAACCTAAATTGTGTTTAAATCAATCCCATTACTCCCAGCTGTACCATTTGGACCACCCGAACTATGCCCCTACCTCTTCTGAAGAAGGAAAAGGATCAGAGCTGGTTTGAGTTACGCTTGCCTATCATTTGTGGTAGCTGTTCTCCTGCCATGCTCCTTGCATGGAACTGAGCTCTTTTTCTGAAAGGAGGTCAGTGCACAACTGGCTCAAAGAGCTCTTGTCCCTTGAACTGCCTGGGCAGGGTGGCCTGGGCTCGTTCAGCAGAGCGGGCAGCAAACAGCCAGTTCTGCAGTAAAGTCAACTGTGGGATTTGCCTGGGGCTGTGAAGGATGATGCAGAGATCCCTGTACCTTTGACAACTCCTGGCTGATGCTTTGGAATAAGGAACTGCTGTATTTTTTTAATGTTTCTGGGAAGGTGTGTGTAGCTTTGCTGAGCGAACTTCTAGCATGTAGCTCCCAGACCAGAATCAACAGCCAGCCGCTACCGCTTGCATCTGCTGAAGTGGGACCAGTTTGCAACAAAGGGTGGCTCAAACCCAAGAGAATTAGGGTTTTTTTCTAACCTGGCTGTGGAGGTTGGAGTTTGAGCAAGGAAAAGTTACCAAACAGAACAACAGAGCCAAAGTCTTGATGAAAGGGGAAATATGGAAACAGACTTAAAGGGCCACACCAAAAGCTTGGCACAAGATACAGGAAGTCTTGGGTAAGGGAAGGGAAGTCATGGGCATGTTTTCACAGTGAGAAAGAGGAGGCCCAGTTTACTGTGGGACCAGCCAAGGTCAGAAGAGACATGTGGGGCTGGAAAGACTCCACAGCTCAGGAAATAAGCCATGAACTGCACTGAGAAATCCCAGACCACCGAGGAGAACCAAATCCTAGCCCCCAAAAAATCCAGAATGGTTAGGAAACTGAGGCAGGGAAATGAACTGAGTCTTTATTATTTTTTTTTCTCACTCAGAATAATTGCTTATTCATAATCTACCTGAATGTGTTTTTGCTAACATCAGTCAAATGTTACTTTTCCTAAACGTTTACTTTCCCAAAAAGGTCAGCTAGAGAGCCCACAGACACTCTGAGCACGGGGTTTCAGCTTTGCTGAGGTGAGCACCAGTCTCTACAAGAACAGGAAAATGAACCACAGGTTTCATCTCTGCTTCTCTCCCTCCATACATATCTAGGGACACTGAAAAAAGTTCAGACAAGGATGACAAGGATGATCAAAGAGACAGAACAGCTTTCACACCGGAGTCAACTAGACTATGATCTGCATTCTGGCAGAAATAACTGAAGTAGATGTGAGAAAGGTGAAAAGCTGGTATTTCTGTTTGGTATGATCTACCAAAGGAATCGAGCAGAGATTTATTTTCTAAAATACTAACTAAATCCACATCCTATTCATCTTGTTTCCTCACACTTCACACTGCAGATTAACAACCAAATGTGATGCTAAGGCCATTGGTTCAGACTGATGTGATGGGCAAAGCCACGAGTAAGCACAAACTGGGATATACTTGATCAAAACCACAGTGCACAGAACACACAGGAGATGTTTCCTAGAGTATCTGAGACTCACAATGCAGTATCTATACTTCGTTTTCATCAATCTTTTTACCTCTGGTTTCAAATTAAAAGAGAACTTTAGATAGCTAACGGCAGGTCACGCTCTACTTCATAAGCGAAAACCTTGCTCTGTGCTAAGACAGTTACAACTGGGAATCCACCCAGATGCTATAAAGACAAAGCAAGCAAACAAATCCCCATCTGACTAAATAACTTCACATGGAGCCTGCAAAGGAACTCACTTTTGTCCTCAGCCCACACCCTAGAGCAGGGATCTGCCAAACCCCAACCATAAATATTCATTAAAAAGCCCTCTGCTTGGGATGCAGTCATTGAGACAGCCATTTCCTGCCCATTATCTAGTAGGGCAGGAAATCAACAGTTCCACTCAGGCGGTTACTGAGCCACGGCTACTCACAGTTTGATTGCAGGGCCTGACTTTGCCCAAAGAAGAGCCATGGAGCAGTAACACGGAAGCAGCATTTTGTTTAAGAAAAGCAGCTCTAAATGTAGCTGCCCCTGTTCTTAGTACTGAGCACAGCAGCTCTTTTCCACCTTGAGTTTTTGCTTGGAGCAAGGTGGATGGAAGCGTCCGGCACCCTTAGCTGGTAGCATCTACGAAGAGGAGAAGTCTATGCAACCAGTAATTTGAATGCATCACCCCTGACACTAACAAAAAATATTAGCTAATAAAAAATACCTCCTTCTGCTGAGGACAACTTCAAGGCTGATCTGAGTGTGGTCTCTGGGGAAAGACTGTTTCAGCATCCAATCTTGTTCTTTATAATCAATCTTCTTTAGAGGAGAAAATCCTGAACTATTTATGACAAGAAGCTGTACTTTCCATAAAAAAGCAAATCCTAGTATTATTGGACACCACGTTGCAGCATGGTTACTGTTTACTGGCCCTTAATGAAGAAATTGGGCTAAAATTCTAATTTCATAATAAAGAAATACTAAAATTTAAAAAAAGGCATTGCAAATAACAGTTTTTCTGCTTACCTTTGGTTTCAAGCCGCTGATCGCTACCAATCAAACAGTCCTTGATTTCTGCACCCTTCTCTATCACAGCATTATGGCAAATAACACTGCCCTGAAGACTGCACCTACAACACAAACACAAAGTGAAGCAAGAAAATGATTTAAAATGATTTAAAATGACAGGCACAAAACAAAGGTGTCTACCAGAATATTTAGTAAGCCTACCACATGATCCTGATAGTAAATTCAGGTATGCTATTTTCTCAAAATCTCCACTTTTCTTGTTCTGATCGTCACATCTTTAATTTAAATTTAAATGTAATTAAAAAACTTGTGTGATTTGTCAGAGTGAGTTTGCAAAAAAGGTTTCTAGCTTTACCTTCTATATCTTCTTGTATACTTCTTCAATAGAATAAATACTGCCAGAGGACTCTGTAGATGGGACACTGACAGGGACTTGGAATCCGGATCAAGTCTCAGGTTTTTTCCACAGACGTCCTAGAGAACTGCAGAGATCACTTCTATGCCCCAGTTGCCAGTTAAAGGGAAGAAAAGGAACTCATTCCTTCCCTGAGAATTTTGGTGAGAATTTTCATACAGATCAGTATCTCAGCTGATGGACCTTGCTCATGTTGCATTCAAGCACCCAAACACGACTGCTCTGTGGTATCAAACCAGTAAAACCCGCAACGATGGAACCTGGAACTCGTCTATTCTCTTAGGAGATTTTCACATCCATGTAGCCTTAGACAACACGAGGTTTGAAATGCTGTGCTGGGCACAGCCGAACAGGACCAGCTTTGCTAAAGTAACCTACTTTCTTGCAAAATGTTTGTGAATCTGCAGTAACAAGCTTTCGGATCTGCTGATCTGATCTTTGAGATAGGAAAGAAGTTCAAAAGCCCAAGTGCTGGCTCCACAGCTCCCCTGCTGAGGACACTGAAAGAGTTACTGCATTGGTCTGCGCCTGTCCAAGCAGTAAAATGGAAATTCTGAATCTTAGCAAATATCCATGATGTGTACTCAAATGCTGCTCAATCAACGCCGTGAGTACTGCTAAATGGTATTAAATGTAGTTTCTTTCAAAGTTATGGAGAAAAAAACACATAGCTCTTCTGCAGATGACTTGTTTCCTGATTTTCTACACGAGCTGGAATCTGTTGAAGGGCAGAGAATTCTAAGGCATCCAGCTAAAAAGTGCTTAAAAATTTGTATTTATCAAGCGTAACACACACCCACAATAACAGATTGTGAGAAAAGTAAAAGCAAGATATACAGCCCCAGACAGACACAGATAATCTGCCCCTCATATTAGCTCCACTCTGACTCATACCATTGAGTAACTCTTCCACATTTGTGCTACTGTTAATATACATATAATTATATACATGTATAATATATATATAAAATACATATATAAATATATATATATATGTAAAATATATATAATTATATAGATGTAAATATATAGAATTGTGAATATTCTTGCTCAGTCAAACAGTTGATCTCTTTCTAAAGCTTTGGGCTTCAGTGATTTTCTATTTCTGCAGTTGAATGAACCACTGTGACGCCTCCAGCTGTCCCCTACCTCTGCCACGAGTTTATGGCTGCGTAACGCCTTCCCCGCGCGCACTGCGCTGCCACGACGGCTCACGGGCGGCAGAGCCATCGGGAGCTCGAGCCGCCGGCGCAGCGGGGCTCGGGCGCCAGGGCAGAGCCCTCAGCCCAGTTTCATAACCAGGGCAGAGCGAGCCAGCTGCATTCCCTGGAGAAAAAAAAGCAGGATCAGTGCTCACTCCAGGCTGCCAATCCTAAAATTAATTGCCACTCTTCTCCTGCTAACACATCCTCGCTATTGGTTACACAAATTCTTGCATTAAGCATTAAATTCCGTTGCTTCTGTAAGCCAGAGCAGAAGCCATCTGCCTCGTGCGCATAGCGAGCTCTGCGGGAGCACAAGCAGTAAAAACGGATCTCGGCCACCCGGCTCCGCAGCCACGAGCCCCCTCGAGCAGCCTGTCCCCTCTGAAGAATCCTTCTTTCAACGCTCTCAAACTCCCCTCCTCTGACCTATAAGGAGGCAGAACGAGCAATTACGCTACAAGCCACCAGCTCAGGTTGCCCTGGCAAGGTTTCTACTAACACGTTAATAAGATAAAAAGCGGCGAAGATACACAGCAGACCCCCGCCTGCCTTTGCTCTCGCACTGTCACAAGCCACTTCCTCTCCAACAGCGCGGCACAGGCCATCGTCTTGTGCAACAGCATTTGCTTAGAGAGAACACCCGGCCTTTGGAAGCGGGCTAGGAAATGAATCAGAGGAGGGAGAACTGCCCGCCGGTGCTGCGGCTCCGGCTGGGCTTCCCAGGGGGCTAGTGAAGGTGATGGGAGAGAGTCCTCGTTTTCCACTGAAATGGCTCCCATCCAAAGCACATGCTCCAAAACACCCTCCTCTTCCATCACTTCACACCATTCAGACGAGAGCTTCCCCTGCTTTGGGAGGGCCCGATTTTTAGGTTCCCACCAGCTCTCGTGTCAAGGAGAGCCTTGGGTACACTACAGCTCTCAGTGAGGCTGCAACTCAAATGGAAAAGGGATTTATGTTGTCGTTCGGGAGTTCAGACCGGAGAACACTGGATGTCTGCTCAGAGCCTTCTTGGGGATAGTTT